TGGTATGTCCCCACGTAACAGCCCTTGGTCCAGCCCCCGTGGCAGCCCCTGTCCTCAGCGCAAATCTCCTCATTCCCACAAGTCTCCCTTAGCCAGTGAGGGCAGACTGAGCCCTGAGCCTGGGCGCCGCTGGGCAGACTACTCCTCAGACAGTAGCCTTACCCCTTCAGGGAGTCCATGGGTTCAGCGGCGTAAGCAGGTGGCATCTCAGGAGAGCAGTCCGGTCGGGAGCCCGATGCTGGGTAGAAAGATCCAGAATGCTGACGGCCTACCGCCAGGCGTAATGAGGCTGCCCAGGGGTCCCGATGGAACCCGCGGCTTTCACTGTGTCACTGTTGGTGAGAGGGGAAAGACTGCTGCTACTCAGACTTGATCTGCGGAGCGTCTTTTTGCATTCTATGATTGATCGATTCCTTATCCCCCCCAGAACCAAAATGATATTGGAATTTTGAGCTGTCCTTGGCCGTGTCGCTCAGCCCCCACCCCATATTTGAGACTGTGTAGATAAATTTTTGTTGAGTGCATCAGTTTTCAGTCTTTGTTATATTTTTATACGACATTTTGAGTTACCATGGTAACATTAGTGATTTACTAATGGAAATTTGAGTGAATGTAAATTGATATTGAGTTGAGAGAAAACTTTACATACACCATGTCACCTCCATTGCTGTCTGAACTTGTTCTACATGGGTCGGAGAAGGAAATCCACCTATATATATTTTTTTTTGTTTGTTTGTTTGTTTTTTGTTTTTGTTTTTTGTTTTTTTTTTTTTAATTGAAAAGTGTCCTCTGTCTTGTGTGTAAAAGCTCACATTTGTCTGTGGATGGTGTATACATGTGTAAGTGGTGTAAGTTACATAGGCACATGGACCCGATAGAGATATCACCATCTGCCTTTCTGTATTTGTCTACTGTGAGTTCCATTTTTACATGTTATTTAAACTGAGGCCATAATCACTCCACTGCCATAAAGGTTGGACAGTTAAATGTGGACATGTTGATTTAGTTTTTTTTGTTTTTTAGTTTTTATTTAGCCTTTTTAATTTCAGTATTTTCTGTACGCTTTGACACTTAGTTGGGAAGGGTGTCTTCTAGCCCTGTAAATGTTAATTTCTTCGGCAGGTAGATGCTTTATTTATTTTTTTAGCTTTTATTTTATTTTTTTTTCTGGGCATAAATGTTTCCATCAGTCTAAGCTCACATTGAGGTTTGAGGGATGTTCAGGTCAGGCAGAATAGATGCTCTTATGTTCTTGCCTTGAGCTTGGGAATTTGTACAGTGCAATTCCTATTGTACAAATAAATCACTAAAATTGCAATTGGCTTGACTTCTTTTTTTTGTTTGTGACACACTTTGAGGTAGTCATGATGGTCTGAAACAACTGTGGTCCAATTCTTATTTTTATTCCAATATGTAAGCAAGATTAAGTGAGATACTGTTACCTTGCCAAGACTGTGGAAATGATTTCAGACTTGGAAAGCAGAATTGGCACACTGGTGTGTTTTTAAAATTGACTGCACAGATGGGAGGATAAGAGTTGATGGATTAAAAGCGATATCAAACCCTGTATGAGAAACAGAAAATGTATAAAATGGTAGAAAAGACCAGTTGCATAAGTAATTTATTCAAGTTGCTTGTGTTTGTATGTGTAATGCCAAAAATGAATTTACTTTCTCATGGTTTCATTTGACCATGTTCAGTGTAATTATGCTTTTTTTTTTTTTTTTTAAGTCAGGAAAACATTAAAAAATATCTTGAAATGATCCAGATTGACCTCAAATATATAACACCCAACATAACTGGTTGCATAAGTAACCTACACATCACTTCAAGTCAAAATGCAGCACCTTTTGATGGCAATCACAGCCTTGTCAACAGACATCCCCATTCATCCCTTTTCCAAGCTCTGTCAAGTTGCATAGAGACTGCGAGTGAGCAGCAGTTGTCGAGTCTCACCACAGTCTCGATTGGATTGAGGTTTGGATTCTGAATTGGCCACTGGATTGTACTATTGTTGTTTTGAAGACATTCCTCTGGCTTTGCTTGGGGTTTTTGTCTTGCTTCTAAAAATAAATCATCTCCTGCAGTTCTCTTGTAGACCGCAGCAAGTTTTCCTTGAAGGTTGGTCTGTATGTATTTTTGCAGCATTTCAGGTTAACATGTCCTATCACAAACCTTCCAGGGCCTGCTGCAGAAAAGCATCCCCACAGCATGATGCTGCCCTCACCAGACATGCTGCTGGGGATAGTGTGTTTCTGCTTGAGTGCAGTGTTTGAGTCACCTCAAAACATTGAGCTTAGTAGGATGGGCAAAAAGCTCACTTTTGGAAGGCTGTCTTAAGTTTTTGTGTCAGTGTCTCACATGCCTTCTGGTAAGCACTTACACAGATGTGAGTCAGCTACAGCAGTCACACAGTTGTTGCACACAGTGTGTCGATCTCAGCCGTGCAAACCTGGGGCTCCTTTAGTGTCCATAGGCCGCTTGGTGGCTGGTCACATTTAGTTTTTTTTTGGGGCAACCTGTGAGGGACATTCACTCATGAAAATTTTCTAGTATCTTCCATAGATTGGTGCTTTTCAATAGCCTTGCTGCAAAATTGCCTGGAGTGTTCTTTTATCAATAAAATGACCATCAGCTGCAGAATATCCCACATACAGCTGCATGTGTCTTGTCACTCCTTGATTACACACAGGTGATTTCCATTCAAGTAATCACGTGCTTGTTAGAAACAACTGGCAACAGCAATGATGATTTATGTCATAGCAAATGGGGTGGACACTTATGCAATCAATTATTTTTTGTTTTATATTTGTTCATAATTTAGATCATATTGATCTTATAAATGACCCTCTGTTGATTGGTGTCAAAACAAATGAATTGCATCACTGTGAGAAGAAAATGTGAAAAAGTCAAGCAAAACCAAAAAGTCCAACAGCCTAGAACACTTTTTATAGGCACTGTAATTTGTGTCGTGTCCTCAGGTAGTATCAAATGCTCCTTAGCAACCGTCCAAGTGTGAGAGGAAGGAACACACAGTTGGATGCTCACAGAGTTGTTAGACTTTTAAATTCATGTTGCAGCATTCTGTTTTGTTAGAGATGCTATCTCCTGTAGGAGTGAGCATAATGAAAGGACACAATCTGTCGGGCAGTGTTGGACACAGAGGTTCAGAGCTGATGCTCCAAAATTCAGAGCTGCAAAGGGACTAAGTGGGATTGCGTAATAGTGGGATGAATAAACTTTTGTTCTCTTTGCATGATTAGCAATTCAAAACCAGGAAGTCGTGATACTGTGTGTTTTTGACAGACAGTATTTTGGTTCACTTCCCAACAGTGTGAATAATGATTATTTTGGATAAGTATTACAAATTTGAACTATTATTCTCATAAAATGAAGTTCTGTGTAATTATCATTAGTCATAGCAAATGAGAATATGATAAAGAGAGATGATAGAAAAACCAAATAAAACTCTGGCTATTATTTGTAATTGGCGACACCCACTGATGTATGAATAAAAACTTATTTAGTGCAGTAACTAAGCTATTTACTCCAGACTTGATTCTTACCAGACATAATTCATAAGACGTGTTGATCAGACAATGTGTTAAAGAGTAAGAGTACTTTTCAGCTTTATTTTTGCTCAGTATTGTAGAATTTAGTTTAGTTTAGTCAGCTTTTTGTTCTACTAAATTATCAAATTATTTATGATAGACAGTAAACGTAAATGCTTTTATCACAGGATCATTTACACATTTCTCTCAGTGTATATACACATATACTGTAAACACGCCCATTCTGTAGCATGTGTTTTAATGTTATACCTACAGACAAGTAATACACAGAAAGATAATGATAGTGAACCCCTTCATGCCTACACATAACCACACAGTATGAGTCAGACAAAGTGAGGTCATGCTGAGACAGTGGGTGGCAACAATCATAGGGGGTAAACTGTGAATGCAGGCTCGCAAAGCCATTTAAAGTGCAGGTTTCCAAAAGGTGAGAAGAATCACTTGTCTTCCTGTAGAATATGCTGTAGGTAAGCATTTCAAGTCTTCTACTCAGCTCTGACTATACTGTATGACAAGCACTTGCATCAGTCTGTGGGAGGGAGCTGTAGTGGCTGTGAGAGGGGCGGTGTCTAATTTGAGGAACTAGAATTAGGGTGGAGTGAATTTACAACAGCATCAGAAAAGCAGCCAATTGGAAAAGTCGACACAAAAGTGAAGAACTTATTTGAAAGGAAATCATTTTTTTTCTCTCCCTCACATTATGTAACATGGCGAGCATGAATCGTGGAATTAAATGAAAGTGTTGTAAAAACTTGGCATAACTGATTTACTGAAATAACTATGTAGCTGTGAAACTGATAAGAATGTTTAACTGCCGTCTGCTATAGTCTGATGCCTCGCTCAAAGGCACTACAACAGCCCTAGTTTAGGAAGGGAGTGTTCCTCAGCCGCTACCTTACCCTTCTGACCTCCTTCTGTCACACGCCTGGGGGTAACATAGGCTTCTGGCAGCACTCACTGTGTTTAATGTGAGAAAAAGCACAGACATCTGTGAAAATGACCTCAGCATTCCTGTCAGAGGCTACAGGGAGAACAGAGTTCAAGCAGAACGTCATAGCTCATGGCCCCTTGAAACAAAGCATCTATATTGACATGTTGCTGACCTCTTTTCAAGGTATCGATAAAGTATCAGACAGAAAAAATGAGCAGGGTTTTGTTCAACTATGGACTAACTATGGAAACAGCAGTCATAACAGCATTTAGCCTCTTTAACCAACAGCTCGTTTACACATTATGCCTTCAAAATCCACAGGTCTTAAAACCTGACCAAAGTGTGCACTGGAGCAGTGTGGCCCCATTAAACTCTACCACAAACCACGGAGTAACATTTCATAACAGTTCTCCGCGGTTCTCATAGATTTAATGGAAATCTGTGCTGAGAGTGAAATTAAATAAAACGCACATATTTCACAATTTTATTTACATAACTTAAAAAATGTCATTTACAGTGTTCCAACAAATTAAAATGACCTGACACTGAACACACAAACATATTTACATGAAGTGAGAGGTGAACCATTTTGTGCCACACGGTCACAAGCAAAGATCTTACAGTGTTAGTACACAGAGAATACTTCTTTACAATGTGACGAATAATCATGAGTGTGTGGAAAAATACCAGTTGAATGCAGCGGCAATCTCCAAAATCTCCAAAGCTGGAAACCACAAGTGACTGCAGTTTGCAAGTGCAACACATCTGAAGTGTTTCAGTATTTATTATGTACAAACATAATGGTCTTCAATATTGTCATCTGTGCATTTCCCAAAATGAGACTACATGTTGCAGTAGATGATGACGGTAATTATAGTACTTCAGAAAGACCAGGGTGTCATTTATGTAGCCCATGGGGGGCATAAAGTTGTAGTTTGCACTGCTGACTCAGTGTAGGAGAAACATGCAAAAATAACCGTCAGAATCATCCACAGGAGCAACTATCTCTTGTCAATGAAAACACCTGAAAATATTCCCTTCTGCATATTCATGCTTTCTTTCAGGACATAAATATTACATTTTAGTCTATTGTGTCTGGTGTCACCATAAAAAGCTCTGTAGCCATGGTTACCATTTCAACCCCCCATTCATGCATTTACCTTGCAATAAGGGAGGAGCAATGCATGGCTCCAAGGTGACAGGATCTCTGTGAAAGCGCAGCTACACAGGACACCCGATCTATCTATATACCAGCATGACAGAGGCAAACCACCAGTTAAGTCAAACCATCCAGATAGACATATTCACTGGCTTGTCATTCCCCTGTACAGCTTCATCTGCAGAATCTCAACAGGAGATAAGTGCAGAATGATTGGGATTGAACTGATGGTTGTGTGGGTAGAGTCGTTGGTGTGATGAGGAAAACACTTCCTGCCTGTTAGCAGATGGGATGAGGACGTGTTGCACAGCGAGCTCGGGCAGGCAAACGTGCTAAGAACACAGCATCTCAGATCTGCGAGAGTGAAGAGGAAGAGGGCACAAACCATCCAGCCATGTCTCAAGAGCTTTGCTTCAGATGTAGAGCGAACCGTCAGCCGGTCCCACATAACCAACCCCGATCAGAAGAACATCGATCAAAGTCCAAATACCCAGACCTCCAAAGCTGAACAGTTTGCCCAGACCTTCTCGCCACTGGCCCAGATAAAAGCGATCTGCCCCAAAACCACCAAGTGTGATGCTATAGAAAGAGATGAAAGAAAAAACAGAGATAACAAAGTCAGAACTGCTATTAAAGCACACGTTGACTCAAAATAATGATATCATCTTATCTTTAATGGTGGCAGGTTTACCTCAGTGCTAATGCTGTTGACCATTTGTATCCTCCAGTCCAGTCACAAAATAAACGTTTCAGAAAACGTCTTTTACCTAGAGAAGAAACAAACATTAAGTGGGCAACGTAAGACAGCCTTGATGTACATAACATTTTCCAAAAGAAATAAGCAAAACCAAAAACACAAGTACATTTTTAAAAAGACAAATTAACATGACTGAAACACATTTCCCTTAACAAATGTGTAAAACAGAATCAGGAACATTTGAAGGTTGTAAGACAAAAAGCGAAAAGTCCTCTGAGTCCTGACTCTAGAGTACAATATTCACATCACAACATTAAAAAAAGGTTTTACAACTACAGTGTATGTACTTAGATGTGTAGCAGCAAAACAACTGCTTTTCTACATTCTTCTCTATATATGTTCACCATTCCCCGTTCTTTGTTCTAGGCAGAAAAAAATGTGCTAATCTGTAACTGGATGAGAAAATCTCCCTTCCCCAAATAGCTGTCTGCAGGGCCTATGACTGAGACACATTTGCTTCACTGAAAGCAATGAAACCTAACAGGCTTTACAGCAGAGCCTTTGTCATACCTAAACAATGTACATGATCTACCACGTCACAGGTGGCGTTGTAGCGTTTGCGTGGGCAGGAGACTGTCATACAGTTGGTGGAGTTTGAGCAGCGGTACTGGGATGGATCCAGCTGCCAGCAGAACTGACAGGTGATGGAGAGAGAGAAGGTGGTTTGCTGTTGTCCCGACTCTCCCTATAAATACAAAAACATCAGGTAATCATTACACAACTATTCCTTAATTAAAGCTAGTTCTAATTCTATCATCACACACTATACTTTGTGATGGGGACTTTTGTCAAGAATCATTGAGACAACTTCCAGTTTCATAGCTGACACAAATGCTGCATGGACAACATGACCTTATGGTCCTTATTTCCTTTTTCTTAAAAAAATGTATAGACTTCTATGTATAAATCTTCCACCCTTACAGTACCTTTATGTAGCAAGAATCTATCACAAAATGAACTGCTACTCACTATACAGTGAACCCCTTTTTTGGGTTCACAAGGGAAGGAAGCTGGTTTCCCATAGGTACAGTTGTATTGGTAATTGCAGTGGATGCAATCAGCTGGAAGGCGATTACACAAACCCCCACTAGGACACTTGGAAGTGGGGTTCTCTTCAACCGCAGGGGACACTGCAAAAGAGCAAATAGAGTATACAGAGAATAGAGTTACAGGAATTGTCCAAGTTAATCTTAAGACTTTATGTCTGGGATCATTAATGGGTGTGTCTGTGATTGCATTCCCCTGAATCTCTTGTCAACAGGGAAAGGCTGTGGGAGGTAAATTACTAACATTGTCCCAAACAAAAAGGCCATCATAGAGTCTCTAAGTCAGCCCATTTACTCCTGATTGCTCCATTAAGGTTTCCTGCTCGCAAGCAAAAGAAAATTGTTGTTGCTTTGTTGATAAGTCATTAACTCTTGAAAACCTAGAGAACATAAAATCAACATATACATTGCTGTGATAGAGGGGAGGAAAAGAAAATATCTATGTATGTCCGATTTCAAGTAATCCAATCAATAGGAGCATGTTGTCAACCACATTGTGGTTATTTACTAATTTCAAATTTGTGTTATAATTCTCTAGATTTATGTCCTACATAATATTTTAAGTGCAGGTCCCTTTGACGTATATGTTGTCATAGTGTTGTGAGCCCTGCTTACAGTCAGTTTGATTAATATTGAGTGACTTATACTGTACGTTTACCTGAGGATACAGAAGGAACCACTGGGCTGGTGATGGCAGGTCCATGCTGGGGATCTCTAGTGTAGAGCGGATCCTGGCCAACATGAGGAGAACTCAGGTATCCTGACAAGAAACCAGACAATAAGGAAGTCATAAGATCTGAGTCCAACTTAGTCTTCCGCTATGGCCATGACACCCCCTATAAATAATACATATTGTTTTAATTGTGTAAATAAGTAATGGTCACCACTAACGTTTGCTGCATTTGCGTGTTAACTGACAGGCACGCTAATGCCCTATTGTTGAAAGTAATTAAAAAATCTAGTAAATGTGTTAGTTATTGAATGATTATTATTTTATCTTTATTTCAATAAAACATCTGAGCTATTGCTTTACATTAACTTTACTTATCCGAGGCGTTGACTGGCTAGTTACACCACTTGGAAATGGGCAGCGACAGTTAACTGTTGGCTTTTATTTACTGTAAATTAAGTACTATGTAGCGTTAATTATCAAAAACATCCTGTTTGGCAACAACTGTAAAATCAGAGCTAGTCATTGCATCCCGTGTTTTCATTGCTAACTACTAGCAATGAAACTACCTAAAGAGACACAAACGTCTGTGTTAGCTCGCTAGCTAACCAGTTATGCTAGCTCAGTGGGAGCAAGCTAACGTTATGGTACAACGACATAGCGTAAGTTAAATATACGGGGGGTACACTGGTATAAATCTGTGACCATTCAGATAAACATACCGTTAACACATTGTAAGACCAAGTCCATAAACAACAGGGTTATTATTCCGTAGGTTTTGAAGCACCGTCCCCGGTCCGGTCTCCATATCTGACAGATTGTGGCCATTGTTGCTACAGACCACACCGGAGCTGCATTCAGGGCATGTAGGAAAAAGCGATTCTCAGCAATCCTCTGCTAGTCTGAAGAATATTCTCTGACTCTCTGATCATCAAACAGACGTCGTGAAGATGCCAGGGAAGAAGTATTCCGCTGACACTCAGCCTCAACCATTCATATACGTCCTACAGTAGGTCAAAACAGTAAGCACAGTAATATGTTCGGCCATCCAACAAACTAAATATTGTAATATAAAGAAACCCTGGGAGATCTTTACATTGTTAACAGTTTCAATTTTATTAAAAAAAATCTTTAAATGATGTCTCATTTTTGGTCAAATGTCATTTAACTCGATATAAGCTCAACTGTAAGATCAACTATAACTCTAACTGTAAGCTCAGAAATCTGTTGGCCACACCAATGCTGTCCTTTCAAAAGCACCAGAGCACTCATGTGGAAAGAGGAAGCATCTGAGAATTAAATTTCACTGTCTGACACTGTGGTATGTTGCTGTATGAGGACGAGGCCCTGCATTGCCCAACTGGTAAAGACAATCACTACCCCTGTTGAAGGTTGTATTTCCATTGTTGCCAACTATAAATGTATGCATCTGACCGAAATCTACTGGCTAAAAGCATCTGCTCAGTTTCACGTTATTGTTTCGAAATGAATGCATCAAGCACCAGGATTAATTTGTGGAGGGCTGCATGCTCTTTCTCATGACATCTAATTCTTGTGAAAACATTAATCACTTCTGTTGTGAAAATAAATGACAGAACAAAATACTCACATTCAGTAGACATTTTATTTCTAGGGATCCCCATCAAGACATAGCTTTGACAAAACAGACCAGTGTCAAATTCACATAACTTTCTCTACTACACTTTCCCAGTACCACCTTCATGTGTTCCATCATTTCTCCCTTTACTGCTCACATGGCTGTAGTTCTAACAGTGAGGTATTCAAATGTGTGAGTCTGCTTTGTTCTTGTTCTTTATCAGAACTCCTCCTCTGCGTTTCGACAGCGGGATTGTTTGAGCAGGGTCAGGCGAGCCAGCACCTCGGCCACCGTCAGCTCGCCGTGGACTTTGTTGTCCCTCGTGCGCACATTGACGCTGTTAGTCATCTTCTCCTTCTCTCCGACAACTGCCAAGACACAAGAATACACAACAGCTTGACATGGGCCAAGCCACACCACACACACACACACACACACACACACACACACACACACACACACACAGCTACCCTAACACATTCCCCACTTTAAGCAGCTGAATTCAACAACTGTGGGTGGTTAGCCCATTTGCTTTATATTTATAAATGTTTATTTTTACTCAATAAGATTGTAACAATGTGTTAACTGACAACCCATCAGTTAATGGACTAAGCCAGGTTTTCAACATTTGCAACAAATCATCATAATTTGAACACCTACGGTTAAAACTGCAGATGGCTTTTTTTTTTTTTTTTTTTTTTAAACGTTTTTTTGGTATTTTGTCAGTACTATTCGATGGCTGACAGTAGAGAGAGACAGGAAATTAGGGGAGGAAGAAAGAGGGTCACAACATGCAACCTGAAATCAAACAGTGGACATGATAATGGTAAATGGAGTTCTACTCATATAGGGCTTTTCTAGTCTTACTGACCACTCAAAGCGCTTTATAATACTTGCCACATTCACCCATTCACTCACACATTCAGACATCACACACTGATGGAACAGTCATCAGGAGCAAGGCGGGGTTCAGTATCAAGCCCACAGACACTTCGACACGCGGACTGCAGGAGCCGGGGATCAAACCACCAGCCTTCTAATTAGTGGACGACCCGCAGCCGCCCCCTGACCAACATTCGGTTTTGTCGTATGAACCATACCTATTATGCCACCAGAGACCCCTCAGATGGAGTTTTAAATTATGTAAGGCTTCTAAATCAACAATAATATAACTTTAATAAACTACAAGCAGATATGATCACATAATGTTTCACACCATGGTAAAAAACCTGCAAGATATGAAAAAAGGAATCTGTTTGGCGTCAGTGCAAAATAAGCATAGTATGTGGAGCAAAAGTTAAAACATCTGAAATAACTGGATAGTTTTCAAATCAAAATGGCCTAATCATTGATGCTGTTTTACTAAACCTTAAGTTTTTGTACAGTGTATTCCTTTAAATTTACAGCCACTGAAACCCTTTATAGTAAACTTATAGTAAACTTGCCTCATAGTGATTAAAAATACACCACTTAAAGTGAGTGGATTGCCCAATCAGTACTGCAAGAAAAATGATTTTAACAATTTTACATTAATAATACAATAATACAGTTGAGTAATCAATTAGATGTACTTTTGAAGTGATTGCTGGAAACCCTAAGAGCAGCAAAAAGATGCTCTCCAATCAGCGGTCAGTCAGTGCTTACATAGGGCAGTACATTTTCTCACCAAGAATGAAGTTATATTGGGCCAACTGTGCGTTTCGGATTTTCTTGTTTAGCAGACAGCCAGAGTCCAGGTCAGCGTCTGCCATGAAACCAGCCTCTGTAAACTGTTTACACACCTGACAGGTAGAAATAACATCCATTAATGTACGTCTCATGAGCGTTGTACAATGCTGAACGCCACTGAGAACTGTTATCTGCATTGTTATGATCACTCTTAAATGTGGTCAGTGTTGGGGAGGCTGAAGACGCACCCTCTTAGCGTAATCTTCACAGGAGGGGTTGACAGGCACTAACATCACCTGACGTGGAGAAATCCAAAGAGGCCTGGTGGATGGACAGATGAACAAAAATCAGACAATCTTCCCACTTGTGTGAAGATCGTCTCATTACCAACACACAACACAAAATACTGACAAAATAATGACAAAGACCATGTGATTTATCTGTTGAAACATCACTATCAGACAGATTAAAGCAGTGGGCCATATAAGCATTGTGGACTATGATTAATTTTTATAGGTTTTTATATTTAAAACAAAAGTTAATAAAAGTCCTCAAATGCTTGAGCAGGTTGAAAACACCTCACCATTTCCCTGCATAGTTCTCTGTGAGAATGGCAATCATCCTCTCCACTGAGCCCAAGATGGCACGATGGATGATGACTGGTCGGGCTTTGTCATCTCCATCCTTCCTGTAAGACATTGCATCAGAAAGATTATTCAAGATTCCTGTGAAATGTTTCCATATGTACTGTATGTAAACTATGCTCATTCTTGGCCTTTCATATTTGTTATTGAGTTATTTGTCTTTAATCCAATTTCAATTTTATTTGTAAAGCACTATTTCTTACAAAATAAATTCAAATGCTTTAAAAAGATAAAAAGAATTGTGCAATATTTCACCATTAACACTGCAGACCTTCTACCTGTACCTACTGGCTCTAAATCTGACTGCTGTACTGCCTGCTGTCTGTTGCTGTCTGTTGCTGTATATGATGCACATTGTTTTCCCATGCTGGGTTTACAAAATGAAGTTCCTGGTGAGATGATAGATGAACCTGTCACGTGCTCAGCGAGCTCAAATTTGCATACAACTCTTCACTTCTTAAGCTCACAACTGTGTGGAGCACAGAGCGCTAGCTGAGACGTTTTATTCAGGAGAGGATTATCATTTAATCTTTGGTGCAGTAAAGCACACGGACCCAGCAGTGTGTCAATGTTTTGATTAGGTGACTCACCCCACAAAGGTCAGGTTGAAGCGGATAGGCAGCTGGAAGTCCAGCTGAATGGTTGCACACTGGTGGTAACGTCCAATTGCATCTTTGATCTTAATGTCAATCTGCAACGGCACAGAAAGATTTACAGCACTTTCCAGGCCTCGGGGAATTAAATTGATTTTGCGTTTGGCAGGAAATATCTAGAAATGTTCTGACCTTGGGTCCATAAAAAGCACCGTCTCCAGGGTTGAGTTTCCATGGCTCCCCAAACTCATTCAGGCTGTTCTCCAATTGCTGTCAGACATGAGGAATAGGTTAACACATAATTTAAATCTAAACAATGAAAAGAAAATTACTGAAGCAGGCCAAGTCATACTGAGGTACACAACTAAGTACAGGACACACAGTTCAGTCTGCACTTTGCACTGCCAAATGCACTTCAACATTTACATTTTAAATATTTCAACTCATAACTGGAAACAATTCATAGTAGAAAACAAGCAATGTCTTGAATAACAACACAACACCTACAGAAATTCAAACAAACGTCACCATGACTCATAAATCTGATACTACTGTATGATTACACAGCAGGAAACTAACTGTCATCCACGATGCCAAGTAATTTATTTGCTAAAAACTAATGTGCAGCAATATTATTATTCATCCTTAGAGGACAAAGTCAGATCTTTAGCTGAATAGTTTTAAAAGAAAAAAAAAATCAGTTGGTATCTGGAGTTCATTTTCCACCATAAATCATAACAACAATGCCCGACACAGTTTACCTTCTCAGCCTGGTTCCACACAGAAATATCACCCAGATACTTCTCTGGACGAGTGGAAAGGTGAAGCTGGAAGGAGAAGCCAAACACGCCGTAAACACAGCGGAGGAAGTCCAGACAACCTTTCATCTCTGACTCAATCTGTATAAAAAAAAAACAAAAAGAAAAAAAGGAAAGATGATTCAGAATTTAGGAAATGACTCAAAATAAGCAGGTATGTCTTTTTCAAAATGTTTTTCACATGTTCAAAGACTTAAAAAAAAAAAAAAAAATCAAACAAAATGTATTCCTTTTATTGTCCCAGAAAAATGTTAAAAATTCCTGATATGGTCACCTGGTCCATCGTGCAGAAAATGTGAGCGTCATCCTGCTGGAAGCGCCGGACTCTGGTCAGCCCAGTTAGTGTTCCTGACAGCTCGTTTCTGTGGAGGACGCCGAAATCTGCCAGCCTCAGAGGAAGCTCCCTCCACGAGCGAGGCCTGTGGCTGAACATTAGACTGAAGGACAACCAGAGAGAAGGAAGTCAACTGAATGTGATATGCATAAAATACTGTAACTACTGTTAGATTTAAAGCATTTGAGAAACATTTTATATATATTTCCTCTCT